TCTTTCATTTTTGACTCCCATGTGCGAAGCACATAATGGGAGTCTTTGCAGTTAGTGTGTGTGTATGTGTGTATGTGTGTCCAACTGTTCCACTGCTATCTCAAGAACCATACATCGGTTTTTGATGAAACTTAGATGCTCTGGGCCAATGCGCAGATTTGATTAGGTTTTGGTAAAAATCCATGCTTGTTAATTACCTAATTTGCATGATAATTAGCTAATTTTTAGCTGTTCTATGACTGTTCCACTGATAGCTAAAGAACCACTCATTGGATTTGGATGAAACTTGATACATAGATGCTCTGAACATATGCGCAGATTTGATTAGTTTTTGGTAAAAATCTGTACATATTAATTACCTAATTTGCATGATAATTAGCTATTTTTTAGTGGTTCCATGACTGTTCCACTGATATCTAAACAACCACTCATTGGATTTTGATGAAACTTGGTACCTAGATGCTCTGAACTAATGCTAGGTTTTGATTAGTTTTTGGTAATAATCCGTGGATACTAATTACCTAATTTGCATAATGATTAGTCAATTTTTGGTTTTTCCATTGATATCTCAAGTACTAATCATCACATTTCAATGAAACTTGGTACATAGATCCTTTAGGACTATGCAGAGACCTAATTAGTTTTAGACTAAATAATTGTGCATATTAATTACCTAATTTGCATAATTAATTTTCGGCTTTTCCACTGATATCTCAAGTACTAATCATCACATTTCAATAAAACTTGGTACATAGATGTCATATGCCACTGCACAGACCTGATAGTTTTTATGGTAATATCAGTACATATAATTACCTAATTTGCATAATTAATTAATTTTCAGCTTTTGATATAAGTAGTGAGCATTACATTTCAATGAAACTTGGTACTTACATACTCAAGGACTATGCAGAGATTGATTGTTTCGGATAAATATTTGTGCATATTAATCACCCAATTTGCATAATTAGTTAATTTCCAGCTTTTCCACGGGTATCTCAAGTACTAATCATCGCATTTCAATGAAACTTGGTACATAGATCCTTTAGGACTATGCAGAAACCTGACTAGTTTTAGGCTAAATAATTGTGCATATTAATTACCTAATTTGCATAACTAATTTTCAGCTTTTCTACTGATATCTAAAGTACTAATCATCATATTTCAATGAATCTAGAATTATGCAGAGACCCAATTAGTTTTTGGTAAATATTTGTGCATATTAATCACCTAATTTGCATAATTAACCAACTTCTAACTTTCACACTGATATCTCAGGTACTAATCATCACATATTAATGAATGTTTGTACATGAATGCTATAGGACAATAGACAGACCTCGATAATTGTGGGTTAAAATCTGTACATATTAATTGCATAATTTGCATAATTAACCAATTTTAAGCTTTCACACTGATATCTAAAGTACTAATTATTCCATTTCAATGAAACTTAGTACAAAAATGCTCTAGGAAAATGTGCAAACTAATTAGTTTGGGGTAAAAATCTGTTCATATTAATTCTCTAATTAGCGTAATAATTCATAATTTTTTGGTTCTAATCACATTTCAATTATACTTGGTATATAGATTTTCTATTACATTGCGCAGTCCTCATTAGTTTTACACTAAAATCTGTTCATATTAATTTTCTGATTTGCATAATTAGTTTTCAGCTAAGTAATTCCGAATTATATTTAATGTGTTACAATACTCTCAGCACATGGGAGTTCTTTCTAAGCTCTCTTTGATTATGAATATTTTTAAATTTTAATAGCAGCTGAATGCAATCAGCCAATCAACTATCACAGTTTGCATTACAATGCTAATTCAATCGGCCAATAGAACCTCTCATTTCAGTTTGAATTTATTAAGATGAATGGTTTGTTGTGTTAAGGCTATTAAAATTGTTATTTTGTTTGATATTAATATCAATACACATGTACCGGTACACATGTTAATTAAGTATGCAAGTAGAGCATGTATAAGTGTGTAATAAGTGTGGGACACATACATGTACGCATGTTAATTAAGTATGCAAGTAGAGCATGTACTAGTGTGTAATAAGTGTGGGACACACATGTACGCATGTTAATTAAGTATGCAAGTAGAGCATGTACTAGTGTGTAATAAGTGTGGGACACACATGTACGCATGTTAATTAAGTATGCAAGTAGAGCATGTACTAGTGTGTAATAAGTGTGGGACACACATGTACGCATGTTAATTAAGTATGCAAGTAGAGCATGTACTAGTGTGTAATAAGTGTGGGACACACATGTACGCATGTTAATTAAGTATGCAAGTAGAGCATGTACTAGTGTGTAATAAGTGTGGGACACATGTATGCATGTTAATTAAGTATGCAAGTAGAGCATGTACTAGTGTGTAATAAGTGTGGGACACACATGTACGCATGTTAATTAAGTATGCAAGTAGAGCATGTACTAGTGTGTAATATGTGTGGGACACATACATGTACGCATGTTAATTAAGTATGCAAGTAGAGCATGTACTAGTGTGTAATAAGGGTGGGACACATACATGTACGCATGTTAATTAAGTATGCAAGTAGAGCATGTACTAGTGTGTAATATGTGTGGGACACATACATGTACGCATGTTAATTAAGTATGCAAGTAGAGCATGTACTAGTGTGTAATATGTGTGGGACACATACATGTAGGCATGTCTTAGGTCAATGCTTAACAAAGAAATACATTGTGGTCACAATTACATGTAGTTTCATTATTGTCCGCCATCATTCCAGACGGAGGTCTGGGTTGTGTTTATGAGGCTCAAATTAAACTGTAAAATTAAACTCCCTATCTGCCTCTTAAAAAGCATTTTAAATTAGAATCTATTTAAAATTTAATCTGGCCAAAATAAGCTATTCTCAGATGTCACAGTTTGGATAATTCACAAGATACAAGTTTGTAAAGCTATGTTTGGAAAGCTTAGTGTAAATTAGTCTATCACAATCCAAAACATGGACAGCTTAGCATGAAATAAGCTATCACAGTCCAGTCCACAGTCCAGTCAAACGTTAAACAAACTTGAGGTTTTGATATATGGCCATTAATTATCCTGATGTTTATTTTGTGAAACCATTGAGAAAAAAATGGCAACCGTCAAAACGCACCCTATGAACTATCAAAAGGAAATAGGAGGAATTGTAAAATGGGTTTCAATGCCAATTATAACTCATGGAGAGAGTTGTTGCACAGTCTGATACACATTTGCAAACACCCTAATGATTTTCAGTTTACTGACGATGTTGGTAATGAGGTGCTCCTTTCATTCACACGTCCCCAGTAAGTCTATGGCGGTATTGATGAATTTCAAGAGTAAATCTGTAGATTGTTACATAAACCAATACCATACAAGTGCTGTGCATTTTTTTTTTTAGGGAATATATAGCAAGAAAAATAATCTATCCTCTGGTTTTATTTTAATAAATACTAGAGAACAGTTTCTATACATGTAGTTTTGTGATTGTGCTTTAAACATGCATACAAAGCGTTATCCTATGGGCTATATTTGATTTGATTTAAATAAATGTATTTTAAAGTGGGAGGGGGGAGTCACCTGTGCATGCACAGGAATTGAGTCCAAATCGATGATAACAACACATGCTAAAAATGCAAAGGCTCATGCGTAGACGCTTGTTTGTAAACAATGACACACTATGGTGATCTGACGCACACGCAGGTGACGACTCCCTCGCTTTAAAGTTCACTTACTACCTTCCTTGCTATTGTGTATGGAGTTGAAATTTAAAGTCCTGTGGAATACTTTATTTTCGCTGAAAAAGCCCTTTGGGCGTTTCGTATGGACTTTATTTTCACTGATTTTTGATGAGTTTAATGTGAAATATAGGAAAACAAGTCATTGTCAATGACACGTCCCCGTTCCGTTCATATTTGAGTGACATATACATTCAAAGCAGATCATGACCGAAATGCACCTGCATATGTACAACACATTGTTCTAAATCTGAACAAAATCCATCCATGCATGACTGAGATCAGGTTCCGGAATTGTGAAAATACGTGATTTTGATGCATTTTCGACCTTAAAATGGCCATAATGTACGATTTCAATGCATTTTCGACCTTAAAGAGGCCGCCATTTGGCTATCGTTAATGAAATCATGAAACAAATGCACATACCTATTTGTGACATGATGTACCTTGTGTGTGTGAAGTTTGAACTCGATCAATCCAAGCATGTCTCAGATACGGATCCAGAACTGAATTCTTTAAAACAAAATGGCCGCCAGTCGGCCATTTCAAACCCGATCCAAAAAAAAAAAAATGACGTGCATCAAGGTCCTATTATGTTTAATGTATGTACCAAATTTGAATGAAATTCGTCCATGCATAACTGAAAAAAAAAAAAAAACTGAGATCCGGATCCGGAATGGTGAAAATATGTGATTTTGATGCATTTTCGGCCTTAAAATGGCCGCTATTTGGCTATCGTTAATCGGATCATGAAAAAAATGCATGTGCATATGTCTCATATAATGTGTGATGTATGAGTGAAGTTTGAACTTAATCGGTCCATGCATGTTCGAGATACAGGTGATCACGCACGCACGCATGCACGCACGCACGCACACAGGGCAAAACATAAGTCCCCGTTTTCGGACTTCGTCCGAACGGGGACTAAAAAGTATATTCGCTGGATTTTATTTTTACAGAATCATCCCTCCAGCGAAAATAGCGAAAATAAATTCCAAGCGAAAATGAAGAAAATACAGTAATTTAATTAGACATTAATTTTATCATGTGATCACAATGAGCTTGGAAATTTGAAAACCTTACATAATTATATTCAGTGAAATACGAGTATAAGTATGTACCCTACAATTTTATCGTTATTGCAGCATTATGATCAGATCATCTTACCAGTCGTGTTTTTTTTGTCTAAAATTGTACATTTCTCTGTTCATTGCTAGCATTCCGGAAGACTGAAAGAAAGTAAGTTGAAAGAATATGTCTGATACCGGATCTATGGAGGGGGAAGGAGGAGGAGGGTTTAATGACCCAGTAGAAGTGAGTGATGTGGAATCGCTATCAGATACAGACAGTGGAGTTGACAGAGATACTGAGAGTTATGAATGGGATCAACCCCAACCAAATGAAGATGTCTTGTTAGGGCGAGGTCCACGTATGAACGACAATGTTGGAATTCCACATTACTTCCCCACACAAAGAAATGTTGATCCACATGATGATAATCCTATATATGGATCATGTGAATATGACGACCCTACGGTTTATTGTGGCTGTCAAAAAGCTTGTACTCATGAACAATTATCTACCCCTCATCTAGAGTCAACAATTAAACTTGAGAACATTTCAGATTCTTCACTTCAAACAGATTTATATACAGGCACAAATATGCCATTTCTTCCAAGACCAGAAAGTCCAATGTCTCGAGATGCTGATCCGGATTATGTGAATAGCCATAGCAATGTTGATCCGCACGACAAATGTACCACGTATGGGTCACATGAACGTGGCATTTCTTGTGGTTGTCAAGGAGCTTGTAATCATGGACAATTATCTGAATATCGTAAAGAACCTGCTTTGCCAAGGTCAGCTGTACAGATTGTTGAATTGAAATATGACAATACACCTTCTAGAGAGTCAACAAATAAACTTGAGGTGTGTTCACTTCAAACAGATTCATATACAAGCAGCAATATGCCATTGCTCCCAAGAGCAGATAGTCCAATGTCTCGAGATACTGATCAGGATTACGTGAATGTTGATCTGCACAATGAGAGCTATAACTCTTGTGAATATGATCAGTCAGCTGTGGATGCTTGTAACATTCATGGAGTTAGTAATCATCAACAGTTACCTGGAGATTGTCATAGCCCTGTTTTGGCAAATCTAGCCATACATATTGTTGGTGAATGCAAAATCAAATGTGAGTATAACTTGCCTTTATTGGAGCCAAAACTGAAAACTGCAGAAGAACTGTCTGAATGCCGTTTGCTAGAGGAAGATTCATACACAGTTACACGCCCAGAAAGTCCACATTCACAAGTTGCCGGTAACCAATCTGTAAACACACTTAGCGATGTTGATTCACATGATGAACTGTCTGAATGCCGTTTGCTAGAGGAAGATTCATACACAGTTACACGCCCAGAAAGTCCACATTCACAAGTTGCCGGTAACCAATCTGTAAACACACTTAGCGATGTTGATTCACATGATGAACATTGGTCACGAGAATGTAATCAACCATCTTTGGATTGTGACTGTCAGGGAGCTTGTAATCATGAACAGTATGGAAAGAGAACTTTCACGTATACTCCTCCACAGTGTGATACCAAGTCTACTCACCAATCAGATATTACTCTCGGACAATACATTCCTGTTGTAAAACAAGAAAAACCAAAGTACAAAAGTAGAATAGTCCTGCCTGAGGAACAGACATATAGTTGCTCTGATTGCACAGAAAATGCAAACAGTGATCATGATTCCTTCAACTCAGCAAGTGACTCTAGAAGTAATTCAGTATACATCAACTGTGAGAATCAGAAAGACAGCAAAAAACGTTGGTATCAACGACTTCTTCCTGGAAAGCAGAAAGCAAAGTCAAAGCATACACAGAAACATTCAGCATCCTTGAAACAGAGTGAAAGAAAATCAGAGCAAAATCATGTGAAAAGAGATAAAAAGAGGAAACAAACTAATAAAAAACATTCAAAAAAGCCAATTAAAATTGATGATAACCATAACTTAGAAAGTATTTCATCAGATACCTTGTCAATGATAAGTAACACGCCACCAAAGTCCAAGCGAAAAAGCGTTAAGAACCAAGTCTTCATCACTTACGCTATGGCACAGTATGATAGTGTTGTCAATGAGTTGGTACCACTGTTACGGGATTGGGGTCTCGATGTGGTGTATGACCTGACCAGAAGAGATTATGAAGCAGAAGAGTTTAATAAAATGCTGGAAGACATACCAGGCTGGCTTATCAACAACTGCCAAAAAGTAAGTATTATGGTTAGAATCTTTGGGCAATAATTTTTATTTTTAGTAGATAGTATACAAATACACTAGATATGGTACAATGCCTTGTTTTCTATTGATCTTGGTGGAAACAGCTTACATAATGTATGTTTGTTCTCACTGCATGCTATGTCATCTATGATGTTCATATAGATGATTGTCTTTGATACTTGTAGATACATTGGGTGATCCTCTGTTAAATGTGTTTATTTCGAGACAATTAATACATGTGTCTTCAGTTTTCTATTTTTGCCGAATATTTTTGTCATTTTTGGTAAAAAATGTTTTTTTCAACTTCTTCTGAAAACTAATGTTATAAGATTACTATATGTTTCACACTAGGTAAAAATACAACAAATATTGTATGTGTACATAACCTCTTAATATTTTCATTTTGGATTAAATTTGCATTCTGGGATTATTCATAAAGTTATATTTTGGACTTGGGACTGTTGTACGGTCTGAATTAGCATGAATTACATGAAATGTTCTGGGAAGCAAATCTTGAATCTTTGAATCCTCACAAAATAAAACAATATTCAAAAGCATTTTTACCTTGCCCGTAACATCAAAGATGGAAGGGAAAGGTATATTAAGTGAAAAATTTCTGTCCGGCGGCGGCGTCGTTGTCGTTAATAATGTTATTGTGTGCACAATAACTTTACCAATTCTATTCCAAACTTTATCACCGTGTTCATCAGTGTAATGTCTTCCCTGGGTATGAACAACAGATGTTCTGTATGAAAATATCATGCAAAAATTGAGAAAATCTGATAAAATATTTTGACTGTTTCTACTTGACTGATCACTAGTGATACACATTCAAAGGTCACTGATCTCAGTGGAAATATGCATTGTTGTCTGTGTTCAATGAAGCAAATCATTTATCTTGTAATAATATCCCTGTATCTCCCAAATCCAATGGGAATACTAAACTGGGTTTCAAAACCAACTCATGGAGAGATTTTTTGCACAGTCTGATACACATTTGCAAACCTACCAATAAAATCTTTACAGAAAACAAGATGTCAGATAATCAATACAAGCACTCCTATGAATTGGGTGCCAAACTTTTATCAAGATCTGAAGCTAATAGAAAATCTGTTTAGTCCAAAGTTATCAAATCAAAAACAATACATAAAAAATACATAAGCAAAACGTTGCATCCACGTTTTGAAAAAGAAAATTGTACTCAAAAAATAGGTATTCTGTATTTGACAAACAGTTCATTCAACAAATGTAAATTCACAGGAATTTGTTTCAGCTATTAGAACAGAATAATAGAGATTTTATAATAATAATTTGAAAACGCACTTTAAAAAAACAAAAATTGCAATGTGTGAAGATGTAGATTCTCAGCAGGCAACAGTACTGTTGACTTCTCTCACTGGACACCAACTAATTATTTAAGTTGATTTGCATTACAAAGCAGAGCTTGCAACATAATAGAGGGCGTTTTTTTTTACTTTTCAAATAATACAGTAGTCACACAATGAATATAATAAGGCAGTTCATATTTGTCTCAGTGGATCATTAATTTTTGACAGACACCTTTACAAAATACTTGGGCAAATGCTAGCTAAGATTTTCTGGTTCTGGTTTCTTGCATGGTTTATGAATTTATTCACCTCTAAATGCAGCACCTTTTTCTGAGATGCAGCATTTGTTTTTATAATAAAAAATCTTAATTACTTTGAATAAAGCTGGAAATTAGGTCCATTAAATGAATTAACCAAATTCGGCACCAATGTTTTTGTAAGATATTTACATCTATCAAGGACATTCGGTAAACTGCTTTTCCACTGTTGTTTGAACGGCAAAACTTGTATTTGTATTCAAAATTAATTATGACAATGCATATTCATATTGAAACAAACTATGATAAAGGGAATAATGTTATATAACAAGGGGCAAGGTCACTATAGTTCAACTATGTTTTTGACAATGCAATTGACGTTTTCCTGAATTCCCTCAAAAGTTCCATTCTGTCGTATAAGTGCACTGCAAATACATCCTTAGCACTTATTGAAGTGTTTTGAGTTCGCGTGTGGTATGTGGGGTCAAAATTCAATATGGTATCTACATTGTTGTACTGTGTTTGTCCGTCTCGGTGCCCTTGCTCAACTAAGCATTTTTGGGGGATTTTTATTTTCGGGTTCATATTCAGCTATGCACCCATCTCTTCGCATGGCATTTTTAAAACAGCATGGATATCGATTGCTGCTCCAATCTACCATGTGAGGGCACTGCAAATACATCATACACAAATTTTATGGACTGGGAGAGTGATAATCGGGAGAGAGTGATAGGGACGTGGAGTGATCTTTAGCTTTAGAAAGTAAGTAAGATCTTGGGGCCTGTGTCATGTTATATGTATTTTTTTATTTAATTAAAATAATTTAAATAAAATAAAATATTCATGAATTGTAGTTAATTGTTATTATTTGTCTTCAGGGCTGTATAATAGTTTGCTGCAGTATGGAATATAGGTCAGAATGTGAGCAACCAGAAGACGTGGAGGACTATCAACACGGATTGAATACTAGGTGAGTGAGTCGGGGGGGAGGTGTAGTAGAAGAGTTAAGAATCTTCAGATATCAATCATTATTAATATTAATAAGCTAGTGTTTGACCCCTGACCTTGCTAGGGCAGGGCAGCATTTAAGTAGTCAGATACTAAATAGTTACACAATAGTGTAATGTACTTTCATTGAAAAGATATTTTGCCTCTTTTGTTGATTTTTGTTGAGTTGAATGTTAAATATTGGAGAAAAAGTTATTTTTACTGGATTTGCTTTTCACTTTTCCTTCAGTAAAAATAGAGACAATAAATTCAAAGTGAAACTAAAGTAGTTTACAGTAAATGTAAAGATGTACATGATACAAATGAACGTTGCTGACATTATTTGAGCTTATTCTGTTTTCTGTCTATTCACCATCTGTGTGGGTAGCTGTGAATGATTGAAGTAAGCTAAATTATTTGATTTACTATAGTGAAAATGCTATGTATTTAATTATGGTGGAAAGAATTCTGATGATTACTATTCATTTTCTATGAAATAATGATTTTACATGGCTGGAAATGTCCATTTGTGGTTCTTTTAGACAGTTTTTTGGGGGCAACAAAACATGAAAAAGTTGATGAAATGTGTCAAAATCAAACACTGTTGATTAATAACATTTTTGTAAAGTCAATTATTTTGAAGATTAATTATCTTCTTGAAAAAACTTCTTCTAAAAATAATTGTTAATTAAAAAATAGTTATTTAAATTACATCAATGATGCATATTTGCATTTCAGAATGATTCACAAGCAACTGACGAGCCATTTTCACTACTGTAGTAATCTATCAAACATTGTTCCGTTAATTGTACCGGGATACAATAGATCCACCATCAGGAATGCAGTTCTGCCTGCCTATCTGCACGGTACGCTGTACTATGAATGGCCAACGACGTCTCGGTATAACAGAGAATGCCTCTATAAAAGACTGGTAGGGAAAATTGAAAGTCAAGCTCCACCAATTGGATCACCATTACCAGTTATTTCACGCATTTTTTATTAAGAAGAAATCAAAATCAAGGAATTGCACTCCTCTTATATTTATATACTATTTATTAGGCTGAAGTTGACATATTTGACAACCAACAAAGAATTGGACTACCAATGCCAGATTTGTGAAACACAACAATGAACTACGGTTGCCAGTTACAAAGATTAATCGGCAAGATTGAGAGTGCAGCTATTCTATGACAATCCACTTCAGAACATCTGTTCAAAATAAAATAGAGTGTTGCTTTGTTTGTTTTTATCATTTTAAAGTTTGAATCTCACAACATGGCTGACACTTTTTTGTCTTGTTTAATTTTTTACTTTATCATCATAAGAGAAATGATATAAAAGGTGAAAAATGCCAATCCTCATGTAAAACTTTCTCTTGCGATTACAAATATAGTTTTTATCCAATTTCCTTCAAACTTGAATATTTTATTAACCAGTTCGAGATCTCAATGCTTTTGGTATGTGTGTGTATTTTTCAAGACATTGATGAAATTTCACTTAAAATTGTCTTGTAATAATATAATTCAGAAATTTAGTTATCTTCAGACTTAGAAATCTGATCAGTCGCTATAAAATGTCAACCAAGCTCAATTTTTGTGTGTATGGAAGGAATTATACATTTATAATACTGATCATGGGAAACAGATGTCAGTAATATGTTCTATAAGATCTACCAGTTGAATAGTGCAGTCATCCAAACATATTTTCATACTGTGGTACATGTATGAATTATTTATGCCACAAAAAATTGACAAATATGCCCCCCCCCCCAAATGTTGGCTAGTAATTTTACTCTTCAAATTTTGCTTCGATATATTACTGTCCTAGTACTTTTTTTATATGGGATTTCAAGATTAATACAGTACATGTAGTAAAAAACATTAACATGGGCAAAGGATTGAATTTTCTTTCATTTTTTTGAATATCAAAAAGGTAACTCTTGACATTGTTTGAATGTTTATAATTGAAAGTGTTGTTTTACTTTTTCTGTATAGTCATGTGTATTAACTCCATAACAGGGTAAAATAAAAACACATTTTTATTTTGCACATGTCACAAAGTATCTGCTAATTCCTAAAACTTTGTTGAACCACCCAAAAAAATAACCAGACAAGGATTAATTGTGTCAGTAGATTTATTTTCCATACAATCTAATACATACCGGTAATATGCATTGAAAAAAATAATTTATCCAAAGTAACGAAAATGATTTTATTAACAGTACAAAGAACATTGATAAATACAATGTGTAGATACACTAATTCATACTGTATGATTCAATATACACAAAACTTGGGAACTTAAGCCTGGATATAAAAGAGATCTATCTATATACATATACTCATCCATAAGCAAATGTTTACATGGTTTTGATAACTAATATTTAATTTGAGCTTTGTTGTTATTCTATTGTTATTTTAAATACCGTGTTTCTATTTCTGTTATGTTAAATAAGTACAGTGTAAGCTTATTACAGGCAATAGAATGATACAAATTAACTACTGGTATGTTAAAATGTCAGAAACAGCTTGATGCCTAAGAATGTTAAACTGAAATGTTGTTACATTGTACTTGAAATATATTTACACTAGTCAATTTGCATTTTAAGCAACAGAAACACAGTATTTCAAAGCACAAAGTTTTGAACAACAGCAAATACCAACAAACAATTTAATTATATGTGCACACACCCACCCACACACACACACACCCACCCACACACACCCACACAGACAGACCTGTGCCAACTCATTTCCATGTTGTGGTTTGTCTTGGTCTGCTATCTCTAGATCTTAAAGACATAGTGGCAATACCAATACGACTTTTAGAATCACGTTCAAGTACTTCAGACTGTGCCAATTCTTCATCATACCTATGCAAATAAAACACAAGATTACATAAATCTGTGATTTGCTAAGGAGACCACAAATGTCAATGTGGACAAATTACTTGATGCAATTTTCATGATCTATAGAAAAAAGTATCCAGGTCACACAAATTGGCAAAAAAAGATAAGGGTACCTTGTTTGTTTGCTAGTATATTTATTGCAGTTGACATGACAGGACTGTGTTTTAATACCAATTAACTGCATGGCTAATTACTTTAACATTTTAGCAAGATATGAGGCACCACAGTGAGGAACTGAATTTTTTGAAATGTTATGGTGACAAGTTTATAAACATGTATATCAATAGATAAACAAGATGTAGCTGAAGAATTCTCGAGGGCGGAGCTACGTCACAGAACGTTCCACGTTGCAAAGACGCGTACCACTGTACCATGTATTTCTATGGGGTCTGCACGGCGCTCAAAGAGTTGGTGAAAACAGCTGAAGTACAGAAAACGGCACAATTTTAAAGTATTCCTGAACAACCAAATTTTTATATGTTGCACATGCAGGGGTAATCTTTCTACAATATTCAGGGGACTCTGAACAACTATTCCAAAGTACCGTTTTCTGAGAGTTTTTGGCCTTTGTTTTCACTGAGATGGTTGCCAGGCAGTGAAAATGCCTGGATGTCTGCTCCCAAGAATACAAGCAATATGATGTGTTAGATGTGGTTTTCTTAATACCTGCACATGCAGCGATAAGAATGGACAGGGTGTCATTCTGCTGAATGTAAGTCTATATCACTATGACCTAATGTTGCCATAGATACTATTCATAAGATAGGTAGAATCAATGTCCATGTTTACACAGATCGATACGTTAAACCGACAGGTACTTTTTAAAAAACGATCATCGTACTTACAGAAGGTCATAGTGCCCATAACATTCTTTGGGAGGAGTTTTATTCCATCTCATACTGGAAAGTAACAGTAGTATCAATAAAATACTTGTTTACTTGCAACACTTTAATATCTTAAAACAAGTAAAATGACAATGGACTGTTTTCCGTTCACTTCAAGATCCCACATTATGCATGAAAACGAACATAAAAGCAGGACAAACAAAGGTCAACAAACGCGAGTATTTTCACATTTAATAAAGTGCTGTACACATTTGATGAGGGTCAATTTGACGATGTAAGGGTATCTAAATGCAATATTCCCCTCTCAAAGATCAGAATTTTGACATTGAGCTATAAAAAAAGAAATTCAAGTTTAAGATCAAATCTTTTGATTTTTGCAACAGAATTCACCAGTATTGTTTTACACCCAAAATATTTCAAATAATTAGAATATCCCATGATGCTAGAAGACATTTTGGACAAAATGGTAATTTTGAGACCACTGAATATTTTATTGAAATATATTGCACATGCTAAACTTGACAAGTGTCACCTGTTTGTAAAATGTATGTATGACTATACAAATGGTGCAAATATTAGTCATAGTCATGGTCATATAGATAGATATTGAAGTGGAATGGTTTCCAAAATCACATTTTCCAATTGAATTCTTATTCTACACTTGCGGTTAACAAGACAATCAAAATACATATTATTGCCTTACAATTGATACAATGATTTTAATAATTTAATAACATATAATGTGTATTACGTACAAAATTATATGTAGAAATCGAATCAAGGGGAAATTGACAGAAGATAATACAAGACAAAAATACTCACTCTGGTATTTCTCCATTGGGACACACAATGTTGAGAATATCGTTGATAAGATTGTATTTCATAATACGATCGTTAGCTGTGGTGGATGTCAACGATGGTGACGCGTTCACCTATATGGAATGTCAATATACGGGATTGTTTGACAAGTCACATGGTTATAGTTTGTGTTCAGTATGACGTATATTGTGGTGAGTGAGAACAAAGAACATCTGACTTTGATGACAACTGTGAAATTGAGATGCTTATCTTACCTCTATCAGCCACGGTTTTAAATTGTCGTCAATAATGATATCATATCCATAACATTCAAAACAATGCCTATCATTTGCCATAACCCCCTGTAATAAAGGAAAACGACAATAGAGGCAATAATGTCTTGTATATTACATCAAGGGATATAGTGGATCTTCAATTGAGTAGCAATATTTGTATGTTCCAAGGATTTTGCAGGAAACATAGTTATGAAACTTAAGTTTAACCAATCCTATATCACACGGTCACAGAACTGGAGAGCTTGTATATTTTACACATTAGCTTGCAGCTTTTATTATCAAAAGTACTATAGTAATTGTGTCTGCATTACAATAATTCATGGCATGTTCCATTACATCTGAACTCTGTTTCTGGAGCATGATTTTACCAACAGAATGTATTTTTGGAGTGGGAGCAATTTATTCACAGTTTCAAAAATTAATTGATAAAATCTTAATTAAATGTATAAACAACCTATACAAAACAAATTCCATGTGTTGTCAAATTGAGGTGGGGAGAGATAGAATGAAAACACACTTGAAGTCGGAATCTCTAGTTATATAGTGGAAGTTTAAGAACCATGACTGATTTCATAGTAACAGGTGATGTCATCATATTGTAGTTTCATTTTTATCATATACCTGATCTGCTTAAAAAAAAGTCAAGGCAAACAACAAAATGCTCCCAGATGAAAGAGCTTTTTATATTATTTTTCATTTTCTAGATATTCAACATTTCATCACTGTTATGTAGTCCATCATCTTGATTATTCAGCAAAGGATTATGGGTAAAGTATGACATCATAATAATTTCCATCTGGTAGCATGATGTGGTTTGCTTTGACTTCCCATTTACCCAGTAATACCAGTGTAAAGAGAAAGGGAACTCACAGATACTGCTTTGAGAGAGTGTACTATCTGCCAATACATTTCATCAAATAATTTGTCAGTTACCTAGAGATAAAGTAAACAGATAAAATTAATGAATGGGTTAATCCTCTAGTGTAAAACATACTAATCAAATAGACCACTAATATCAGTGTTTAGGTTATATATGTAATGTAATCGTGACTTGTGTCAGCATGTGATGTCTCAATAATCAATTTTTTTTATTTAGCCATTATCAGATGCTCAACACCCACTCATACTATCATTTCTGTTAAATGAGCAGAATGTACATTTTTTTCACTGCTGAGTGGGTACCCAACCATGGGATTCAAACCCACAATCTCTATGATGTTTGGCAGACTTGCTAATCATTAAGCCACATGTCAGGTCAGATCAGGTACAATGTTTCTTGTAGCCGATCCAAAGCTGGAAAATTTCACACAATGCTGATAATATCTCCATTCTGCACCAGAGCCCACAAAAATTTATCATAAACTCACATCTTTTCCTCGTGTTCCTTCAAGATAAATTTTAAGATTATGAACTGTCCATTTGCCGCCGTGATTTGGGTTATATTCTTCCTATAATAACAACAAAGTGGCATTATTATACAGAGTGTCTAACTTGCCTACAGTGGTTGAGTGTTCTAAAATATGACAACCATGGTACAAATGTGATAAATTATAGCCATTAACATAATTATGAATACATAATAATAACATAACACACTAATCCTTCCATATATAACATTGTATAAAAATATGGGGTAATACATCTTGGATAAACCTTAATCTACTTTTACGAAAAAACAAAATGCCTATTTAATAACATTTTCAGATTTTTGTGCTACAACCTACTGCCCCGGCTTTGAAAATATAATACTTGTCTTTTTATGTAAATCACAAACATTTGGATAATCTATTTCCGCAATTCATTTCCTACCTATTATCTAATTTACCAAAAAAAATGTTGTATGTATTTGTATCACCGCGAACTAAATTTCAATTGCACTACCCCACTTGTGGTTTATAGTTCTGTAATAAATCATGGTTACTATGTATAAATTATAAATAGTAACCATGATTTATTACAGAACTGCTTGTAGTTGTACATGTACTCATGTTACAAAGAAATTAGGATAATGTACATATGGACATTACAGCAATACTTACCCCATGCTTTTGAATGGATACATTTGTTAAATGTACAAACATATTGTCCAACTCAGTTGTATTTGGAGTATATTTCACAGTACAAAACCGACAAAAACCTAATTTATATCTGTGAAAAAACAAATTATAATTGAATACAAGATTTTAACAACTTTCTGGTTACTTGGCCACGAGTAGCTAACCACATCATCTACCAAAATGTCAATGGGAGGTATAATTTATAAAAACAAAAACATTTTTAATAACTGATACTGAGGGCGCTCATATAGAATACTTTATTAAAGTGATGGTCTGAAAGGAGAGAAAGGGTATTTAAGCTTCCAGCATACAACTACTGTAGAATACAGCAAAAATAAAGTATTCCACAGTATTGCAGAATAGTTTGTCACAGTGACTACCACCATCATCATTGAGTCAACTTACATATAGCACTTTAATGGTCTGTATGATGTCACAAGAACATACAATCTCAAGTCAAATTTCTTTCCTCCAATAAGTAAGGGATTGTCAATATATTTGGATATGACGTAGGCATCCTTGGCTGAGGGTGCCGCAAATCTGTGAAAGTGAATCAAATATATTCAAGTGAATAAACATAGTGAATTAATAAAATGAATAAACAGTTCAATACAATTACTGTATTGATTAAAGTAACAGTGTAACACCTGGTACATGTATTCCCAAACTATGCCATCATTAAGACAAACAGATTTATGACTCGATGTAAACATATTATAGTGGTGAGATGATGGATCTCCTGCTACCTGCTGTGCCCTCCAGAATAACAGCGTTCCTCTGCAGGAAACACTCCTGTAATTTCTTGATCGTTGTGTTGCAGAAGCCATTGACTGTCATCCATTTCCACGTCCTGGAACCGTGAGTTATCACCGATGCACACTTCCCTAGGCAATCCCCTATTTTAGTGAATTTATTCATTGTGTTTTTATGTGCTTTGTTTCTTGTAATTATTTTGAGAGGTATTGAAGCCATGAGCTTTAACTTGATATTTTGGTGCATGTGTATTTCATTTCCAGTACTATTGTCTTGTCTACCCCATTCTAGCAGTGAAAGAACCCCCTGTCCAGTAAGCACGCCTTACACTGTGACAGTGTTATTTCATTGTGATAACTACTTCTCAGAACTCCATATGAGAGGACACCATAGTGTCATATTGGAAAAATATTAGTGACATTTTTAGCTATCACTATCTGTGAATATAATATTTAGGATTCCTGAAATAATATGATAAACTTGTAAAATAAAAAACATTTTTGTTGACAATGTAAATGTATAACAATAGTATTAGTATAGGAATGTAACTTTCTATCTCAAAGCCCTGTAAACATATAATACAAAAAAAAATGTAGGTAGATGTCTAGATACTTACGTGGATGTTCGACTGTCTCTAGACCATTTCTTAAGTTGAGACAACCTGTTAATAAGAAATATACCGATTCCTCTAGCTAGAAAGAGAAAGGAAGCAAGAGTCATGATTTTCAACATTATCTGGTATGTTATCAAACACTGACAATTATGTACACAACATGCATACACTGTATTTGCTCTATTTGTGTGTCATTCAATAGAAGCGCATATGAAAAATTACATGTGTTGTATACTGAATTATTAAAATATGACTTAGTTTCCCCACAGAAACACCTTTAATGTACATGCTTCTAATAGAGCAAATAAAGTAAAATGTTATGCAATATGTTTTCATGATAATGTATCGTACTGTTACCAGTCTAATACTATATATTTACATAGTGACAGTGTCATTGTAAACGTTCACACAATGTCTACTGAAAATTTGCTTCGTTAAGGAGGGGGGGGGGGTAATTTGTTTTTTATAGTTTTGACAGTTTTAGTAACTGAGGCCTGCATACAGGGACGATGCCATTACTGGCAAAGTAAATAGAAACTATAACAAAAATGTTACATATCGTTTTGGTAGTGGTAATGGATCTAAATATTGTTTTTGTTTTTTATAAATTTTACTCTCACATACACTTTTCAAATTCAATTGTCCAAACAAACTATGCTTTCATTCATATGCAAATTAGTCACAGTCCTTCATTGAGACAACTAATTATGATAACTGAAAAGAGAGATCCAGATCTATCAAGAACACATCGATGCTTACCTTTGCCAGTAGGTTTCATTATCCATGTACTGGATGGGTTTTTTCGGAATTCTTCCACAAATAAATTGTAGTCAGCTGGCAGTAAAAATGTTACCGGAAGAAAATCTGTAATTGAATGCATGATGATTGATGTGAGCAAATAAGAAATGATCAAGAATCTGTCAACATCTGGTCACAGTTCTGGAAGATTAAATCTGGGGCAGGGCTCAACTTTTTTGCTAATCCCTCAAACATTTATTTCAGTAAAATATTTTCATGTAAAAAGAACAAGTGTTCAACAAAAATATTCATGGCCTTTTGAAGCTGTATTGATTCTGATTATAATACTTGATCGATATATCTAAAACTGGTCCTAAAAATCCTAACTCACCTAAGTGGATGTATTTTCCAGTTTCATCTTTCTCTGCTAGAGGACTGCCTTCTTTTTCCAAATCTTTACGATATCTCTTGATATTTTTTACCATTAAATCTTTCCGTGTCAGTTCATAATGATTTGGGTAATGGTTGATAATTCTAAAAGAAAAATATTTATATACATGTTGCTTTGGTGCCCTGCAGAATAGTTATATATATTCAGAGAATTGCTGACCAGGAAATTAGATGCCTTTACTTTACAGAGCTCCATGGAATTGCTAAGCATGTCACATAAATCAATGTATGCCAAGTTTTAAAATTTTTTTTTTAAATTCTCATGATAATAATACATTTTTAAATAATTTTTAGAGCATCACAAATTAAAAGAATAAAATCAATAATTAATATTTGTTCAAAATGAACTGAGAGTGCAAATAGAGACCGTAAACTGTTAGATTTTTTACAGTAACTTTTCATACTTCCTAGCTTACTTCCTAGCTTAGTTCTGTTGAACATCTTCTGAAGCAGTATTTGGAATAGTGTTGCATACTGGGATTTTAGATTTTCCAAATAAAAAAGTAAATTAGCTGCTGAGCATCAAGTTCCAACATGCATAACTTGTGATCGTGACTACTGATAAATTGATCAGATAATGCTACATATTTAAAGGGTGGTAGTCGTCGCGCCACGCATGCGCAAAATATATGGGTCTCATATAAACAAAGATGGTGACTTTGACTGTTGCACAGATCAACGAGTACAAACTGAGACGATTCCAAGCTTTAATTGTGGAATTTGTACGTGATTGGAAGGTATCGAAGGAGTCATCGGTGGTAATCAGTGCATGTCGCGCTCAGGTCAAACCTCATACTTGTGTTTTCCATTTGAAGAGCACATTGGATTGTAGGAAAGTCAATGTTTATCAACACAAATGTCGCACATGCGCAGCAAGACGACTACCGCTCTTTAATTAACACTAATATTGTGCCGGTAAAATAACTTACTGATCATCTTGAAGCCGATAACCTGTCTCTACACTGAAAATATTACGTGTTGTCTGGACGCTGCTCCTGAAAATATAAATATCGTTTGTTACATGATTGGTTGAATCTGAATATTAATATCCTTATTACTTGTGTCAGTTGTGACCATTAAAGATTATGTGTGGTACATGTGAATGAAAAAATGAATAAAAATGTCAAGATTACATCTGGTGAAATAAAAATTTATTATCTTGGTTGAGGGAAGGAATTCTTCCTGTAATCCCCCCCCCCTAACCTTTGCCCAAATCCTAACCCTAACCCTCCCGAAAATCATGTATGCCACGCTCGATGACTATAGTTTTTCACAAAGGGTAATTTGTAATAAAATTGTGGGCCTATAATATGGTTAGAATACGTTTGTGATGGGGTACAGAACAGAGGGGAGTCCGTCCGTCCGAAAGTCCACTTACCAATAGAAATTCCAGTCTTCATCGGGGGACGCTTGCACCCAACCTCGCTTTTCAAAATTCCCAAGGAGAACTGATTTGTCGAGATCACATGCCCAGCGAACTTTCTGTGACATGGTGTTTTTTTAAGTTGCATCAGAATCTAACTGTAGATCGAGGGAATATATTGAAAAAACTATCCGCTTCGATTAACTAATATCGGCAAAACACCTGTCAAAAATATTTGTTGCTATGTTGTACAAGCAGAGCGCCATCTTTCATACTTCCGAATACGGAATAAAACAACGTATTTGTGGGTCGTGTATTCGACTATTTGGTATTTTTATGTTTTCTGGGTGATACGCATTATAAATATAACTATGATATCGTTTTTTGTCATTCATTACAATATCTATTGAGCAGTGTACGTGTGTTATCTTTAGTAATGTTTAGTGTATACGAACGTGCGTCTACCAATTACGTGTTCGCCGGGTAGCAAAAGAATCATCGCACGATGTCATTTTCAACCGGAACTGATTCGAACCACACGTCAGAATTTCACCGTTTCTTTGCTGGTTGTAACGTAGAAAACTTAAAACGGCCACCGTTACCTGCGTGGCCACGACGAATGGACGCACCAAGTGTAAATCTTCGGAAGAGAGGGAATATTGACGCCGATCACGGTAAAGTTCGCTTTATTTTCAATAATTGATTTTCATATTGATATCGATATGTCGACAAAAATATATGCTTACAGTTTAATAGCTATGATTACATCACCTTCTATGTTAATGTTATGTACTGGTATAAGGGCCATATTGAATAGCCGGTATTTGCGTCACGCGATCACTACGAGTACTAATAATAAACGTGTGATCAGCCTTTCCTGGTTGAAGGACGCCGGTTAAAGTCGGCCATGTGATTACAAGCTGTTGACCCGCTTTTGTCCCAGCATGGACCTACCGGTACTATAATAGGTCCATGGTCCTTGCCGTCATTTGTAGTTTGTTTACTAAATATAATCAAGTCAATAATAATACAAGGAAAGACTTTCCTATGTCCCCCACCCCTAACCCTCTAGCCCCCTAATTCTCAAGAGGGGCATACGCAATTTTTTGAGGGACAATACAGGATAGGGGTTAGAGTTAAGATTAAAGGTGGGGGTACACTGGAAGGTCTTTCCTTTAAATATTCATCATGATGTATACTTCCTGCAATTTTGTTAGTACATAATTCAATGATGGCTGACTTGATCACATGTATGCTTGTGTATGTTAAATGGTGGGACCAATACAGCAGTGAATACAAAAGAAAAAAAATCATCACGCATGTAGTTA